TCACTCTGTCATGCAGGCTGAAATGCAGTGGCGTGATTATGGCTCGCTGTAGCCTCGCTTTCTAAGTCTCAAAAGATCCTCCCACCTCAGCCTCCTGAGTAGCTGGGACCACAGGCACGTACCACCATGCCTGGCTAATTTTCGTATTTTTGGTAGAGATGAGGTTTCACCATGTTGCCCAGGCTGGCCTTGAACTCCTGAGTACAAGTAATCTGCCTGTCTCAACAAGTGTTGGGATTACAGGCGTGAGCCACTGCCCCCAGGCTTAACCAAACCTCTAAAACTTCTGGGAGAGAGAATCAGATTTATCCAGGTGTTTATTCCTTGTCCAGTCAGCTGTGGCCTAAGGACAGGATTAGGTTATGTAAATAAAATTGCCAGTGGTCTTAATATCTCTTTCTCTGTACATCTCACAAAACAGACTTGGGAGTCATCATTTTCTAGATAGCAAAAGAAGTCCTAGGCATAAATCACTAAGGAAAACTGTATAGAGTGAGAACTGAACTGAGGGTGGAACCATGGATGCACAAAAATATCTAAGGAATGAGTGGCAGAAAGAGAGCTGAAGATTCAGTGAAGAGGTTGTCAGAGAGACAGGACAAGAACTAGAACTAGATATCCTAGAACTAAAAGGAAGAAGAAATTTCTAAGTGAGGAGGAATATCCGAGATAATAGGTAAGGTAAACACTAAGAAGAATCCGTTGACTTTAGCAATTAAGGTGTCAATGAGAGAAATTTTATTTTCCTTCCTAAAGTTGTGGTGGTGGTAGTTCTTGTTGTCTTTCCATTTTAACAAGAACAAGTATATGTAAGGCAAAAGAATGGACCTTAAATTATGAAACATCAATATACAAGAGTGTATTATATTAAGGTAATATATTTAGCCTAAAATAATGCCCTCCTTTGTAAATTATTACAAAGGTTATCATAATATAAGGACAATTTTACATAGTAATATGAATAAAATCAGAGTTATTATCATGTTGTCAAAGTCATAAGCTATAAGACCAAACTGCTTTTTGGCAAGCCTTTATTAATTCTAACTCCATATAGGGTATAAACTCCAGAAGATAGGAGAGGGGGAATATGCTGGAGGGTTTTGTTTGATTATATTTTATGTTCTTAGAATATTTTTTCTGTCTCTGACTGTGGTAGAATGAACAAAATGTTAATAATATGGAGTTTTAATACCCATGAGTACTTAATGTTTTTTGTTTTTAATTTTCCTTCAACCTTGATATGACTTACCACATTCTGGAATTTGCTTATGGACCTCATAAGTTCAGAGTTGAACTATTCCCCTAGTTCACATAGCTATTTAGTCGTCTTTTATGCCTCCTGATAAATTTTTCTCTATAAGCTAGTGATGAAATTTAAACTTTCATTCCAAGGGAGTGTTTCTGTACTAGTCAGTTATCCATTATTTTGATGTATTAGCCAAACATTGAGTGACAAATGAATCTACAGAAAGCAATCCAAGAAGAAATAATTAGGTCTCTCCTACAGTAGAAAAATCTCCTATTTTAGGAAATTTCCTTACTAAAGCTATACAGTTTTCTACCTTATAAAGTGAGAATACTACTACTATCGATTAGGGTTATTGAAAAGAATTAAATGAGCTAATATAAATTAAAGTTATTTATAAAACATAAAGTGCTATATAGGTTAGCTAATATTACTAACTTTGCTGTCTTGTATTTTCCAACTTCTAGAATACCAGGGTTTGTTTCTCTTGATTTGAAGTTAGGAAGAAGAAGTTGGCCTCTCATGGCTGAGGGACAGGGCAAAGGGGGACTGCTGACTGGTTCTTTGGGTGCTGAAAGTATAATGTTCTCTACAGTTTCTAATGTTTCTAACTTTTCAAAATTCAGTTTTGATGTGCTTTTATTTCAAACATGGCTCAAGGTTCTGGAAATTTTCTGGATTTTTAATGAGTTTATGTTTTGGTATATACTTTCTGAATATAGTATAATAAAAATAAAAATATAGTTGTTGAAGGAAGCTTAGATGTAATCTCTGTGAATCGTTATGCTTTAAAAGTGAAATTTATAGCTGACCTTGGTTCAGCACAAAATTAGTCATCCCTTACTAATGCAGGATATTACATCAGGAATTCCTGGGTTAGTATCCAGCCCTAAGCAGAGAACTTCCCGGCCTAATGAAGTCCGAGAATAGTTCTCCGTTTAGCAGACATTTATTGAGCACCTACTGCATGTTAGGTACTCTAATAGGCTCATCTCAGTATTGTTATTCAAGTATTTTCAAATTTCAAATAAAATAGAAATACATGAGTATAATTGATAATAAAATATCCAATCACTAGAAAAATAATAACTGAGTAAATGTGTAAAGATGGTAGGTAATATAAGAAAATTTGTTGTCAGAATCCTAGGCCTTTGATTTTCTAGTTTAGTTTTTTTGTTTTTGTTTTTGTTTTTTTGAGATGGAATCTTGCTCTGTCAGCAGGATAGAGTGCAGTGGTGTGATCTTGGCTCACTGTAACCTCCACCACTTGTGTTCTAGCGATCCTCCTGCCTCAGCCACCCAAGTAGCTGTGACTACAGGTGTGCATCACCATGCATGGCTAATCTTTCTATTTTTAGTAGAGATAGGGTTTCACTGTGTTGGCCAAGCTGGTCTCAAACTCCTGACCTCAAGTGATTCACCCGCTTCAGCCTCCCAAAGTGCAGGAATTACAGACATGAGCCACACCATGCCTGGCCTACCTACTTTAGTTTTTACAGTGCTTAATGAAATGCCACATATAGAAACACATTAATAACTGGGTAACATTATTAATTATGGTTCTAGGAAATCTCCAACGACATGTCTGCCTCTTTCTACTAGTCTTTGAGCTCCCAAAGAACAAGAATTAATAATAACTCAAGGTCAGGTGCAGTGGCTCACACCTGTAATCCCAGCACTTTGGGAGGTCAAGACAGACAGATCTCTTGAGGCTAGGAGTTCGAGACCAGCCTGGCCAATATGGCATAACCCATCTCTACTAAAAATACAAAAAATTAGCTGGGTGTGGTGGCCTGCGCCTATCATCTCAGCTACTTGGGAGACTAAGGCATGAGAATCACTTGAACCTGGGGGCAGAGGTTTCAGTGAGCCAAGATTACATCACTGCATTCCAGCCCGGGCAAGAGAGTGAGACTCTGTCTCAAAAAAAAAAAACAAAACAGCAACTCAAATTTATTTATTTAGAGAAGCTCTGTTACCCAGGCTGGAGTGCAGTGGCATGATCATAGCTTACTGCAGCCTCAAACTCCTGGGTTCAAGCTATCTTCCCACCCAGCCTCCTGAGTAGCTGGGACTACATATAGGCACACACCACCGTGTAGGGCTAACTTTTTAAAATTTTTAAAGAGATGGGGGTCTCAATGTTTGCTTAGGCTGGTCTCAAATGCCTGGCTTTAAGCCATCCTCCTGCTTCGGCCTCCCAAAGTGCTGGGATTACAGGTGTGAGCCACCACCCATAGCTACAACTCACATTTATTAAGCACTTAAAATGTTCATCCTTACAACTCTCTATAGCAACTTCTAGAGGGTTTAGCAACTTATTCAAGATCACATAACTAATAAGTGACAAAGCTTTTTTTCAGAATCACCTCAGCATGACTTTGTAATCAATGCCCTTTCCCATGATGCCATCCTGTTCCCACACCCAGCACAGTTGTCTGGCTATTTAGATATGCTGATGATGTTGGGATAAATAATGGATGACCGTCTTCTACCTTGTTTAGCCAGAGACTTTTCCTTCAAAAAAAATTTTTTTTTACTTTTTAGTTTTTAAAAAAAGATTTCATTTGAAAAGATTAAGACTTGTTTACATGTTATTCGGAAATAAAATTGATTCTTACCAATTCTCCATTGCAGCTTTTCATCATGTTTCTGTTTACCCAAAGAGGGAGCTTCCTTTGTTCATCCATTTCACAGCAGGATTTTGCTCTTCTACAGCAATGATAGCCATTCTCACACATCAGTTTCCTGAAATCATGGGTATTTTTGTTAAAGCTGTAAGTATGATCTCAAGGACTTGTGTAGATTATTTGTAAAACACACAAGAAACCGTCCCTGATCTGCCTGTGCTAACCCAGCTGAGCAGTGGAAGATATTTGTTGTAAATTAAAGGAATTGATTTGTAAAGTTGCTGCCATAACTATGTCAAACATAAATTTTCAGTGATTTGAGCTACTTCTGCTGCTTAAAAGTTTAAAGAATACAATATAAGATTATAACAATATAACATTGTAAAGTTTGCTCTTATAGATCACTTTTGGTGATAAACAGCCTGGGTTACTATCTTTGGTATTTTTTTAATTCCCTATTTTGTAAACAAACCCTTCGATGTTTTTCAGTTAAATGAAATCATTAGTTCTCAGGATTTGCTGAACTTTAAAGTCAAGAGCACAACAAGGATGGATAATAAGTACCTAAGGCAGGGAACAGATGAGACATTTGTCCCTAGGTACAGAATATGCCTATGTCTCAAAGGTTCTCCAAGTTATTGTGTCTGCTTGTTCTTT